TCTCAGACTTGTAGTGATCCTCCTGTTTTCAGCCTCCCCAGCACTGGGATTATAGGCGTGCACCACCATGTGTGCCCGGAGTTGGGCCAGTGTGGGCCAATGTGACATGTGATGCCAGGGACCCAATCCAGGTCCCTGCAGTATGTCAGTCCCCAAAGCTGAGTAGTTTAAATAATAATTGTTTCATCTGGAAAAAACCATTGCTAGAGTTAACCTAAAAGCAGGGAGTTCTGTAACGGTATATTACAAACCGTTCCAAGATGGAGCCAGCACATATTCTAATGAAAGAAGCAGTAGGGGCCAGAGTGATCAGTCCAAAGTGTTTATTAGGAGAAGTTATTACAGAAGGTGGGGCTGTAGCATATCCCTGTGATGGGGGTAACAATGCATGTTAATGACAGGAGATTAGGGTGTGGCAAAGCTAAATTGATTAGTCCCAGCAAGCCAGCCATAGCTGTAGTTCAAAAGAAGTTCAGGCTGGTTTCTGGCTGTGAGGTTGTAACCAAATTTATCCACCCTGTAGCAGTAATCTGGCTCCAGCTGGCTTGAACTGCTCTCTCTGCCAGTTTGAACTTGGCCCCCTGACCTTTCTACTTGAACTCATCAGTCTGACTTTGTTACTGGGAGCCCCTACCCACAGCTGCTCTGATTTCCAAAGTCAGTTGGCCCCTCTCCAAGATGGCTGCCAGGCAATCGTCCTCTCCTGGGGTCAGTCTAAACCCAAATAACTTGCCACTGCAGGCCACTGTGTTTAGTACTCCATTCCACTGGCTCATTTCTCTGGGGAGGCCTGTGGGGTCACCAGTAGTCAGGTTTGGGCTGCCCCTCCCACTCTATGAGGTTGGGCTCAAGGACAAAACACCACCTGCCACTTTCTTTGTTGAAGACTGTCTTTTTTTCTCACCCTATGGACTTCAGTTCTTGTTTCAGATCCTTCCTAGGCCCAGGGGACCCACTTTGCTCTTTCTTTTCTTTCTCTTGCTATCTTACAGTATCTGGACACCAAATCTCAGAGAGGCTCTTTCTCTGCTGCTCTGCCATCTTCCCAGGGTGTACTTTTCCTTGTTTTTTCCTGTTTTACTCAGCTCAAGCTTGCTTTGCAGAGTGAGTCTCTCTCACTCTTCACTTTTTTCAAATAAACTTTGGCACTGCTCTTTGCTTGTTTCATTCAGTTCTTGTTCTAGATGAGAAGAAACTGGAATCTTAACTCCACAAGGTAAGGAGAACAACCCCAAATAAAGTAACATTTATTCACTGAGCCACTTTTAGAAGGAGCTACTTGATAACAGTAACAGTAATGGGGAGATAGCTCAGTGGCTAAAGCACTCTGCCTTGCAAGTGCAGGGTCCTGAGTTTGATCTCTGGTACAAACAAACAAAAAAAAGTAATGTGTAATGGATTTAGAAGTTATACTCCAGGGTCTTGTGTATGACAAGCAATGAATTGTTAGTGCACACTAGACAAGTGGAAAGGATTTTTTTTTAACAGAAAGGGTCTCACTATGTTGTACAAGCTAGCCTTGAACTTACTTATCTTCCTGCTTTTTCCCCCTACGTACTGGGATTACAGGTATGTACCACCATGCTTGGCAGTAGCTATATTTTTTGAATGCAAAACTGTACTCAGGTCAAGTACTGTAGGGTGCTATTTAAAATTAAGTGGGCCCTGGACATGGTGGTGTATGCTGTTAACTCCAGTACTCAGGAGGATGAGGCGAGAGGATTATCAGAAGTTGGAGGCCAGCCTGGGCTCCATGGTGAGTTCAAAATCAACCTGGACTATATAGCAAAACTCAGTCTCAAAAATAATTAATTCGAAAGCACTCTGGGATTTAGCAAAACACCAAGGCTCTGGGTTCAACCCTCAGGAATGCACAAACACAAAATTGCCTCTTTTTTTTTTTTTTTTTTTTTTCTTTTTAACCAGGGATTGAACTCAGGCCCTTGCGCTTGCCAGGGAAGCGCTTATTCCACTGAGCCATCTCCCCGGCCCCCAGACTAGTCTTAAACTCACAATGGGGCGGGGGAGATGGCTCAGTGGAATAAGTGCTTCCCTGGCAAGCGCAAGGCCCTGAGTTTAATCCCCAGTTCTGAAAAAAAAAAACAAAACAAAACCTCACAATGATCCTCCTGCTTCAGCTGCCCAAGTGCTGGGATTACAGGTGTGTGTCACCGTGCCTAGCTCCACAAAGTTTCCTTTGTGATATTTTTCCTAATCCAATTCTGCTCACAGGGTCAGTGGCAGCACAGGAAATCATACCCTACATTCCTGATATTAAAGGAGCAGAATGTCCACATTCACTGAAAATTGTCATTTATCTTATCTTTATTTTTCATTTATCTTATCTAATGGCTCCCTGGAAAGCTCCACTTACAAGGCCCTTCAGAGCTTGCCCAGTAACAATAGTTTTCCCCTGAGACTGTATGCAGAAGACAATTATAGGCAAATTAATTTACAAGCTGCTTGAGGGTTTGGATAAAAGCTGGGGCAAACAAAATAAACAAAAAATTTTAAAAAATCAGTGAAGATCTCCACAGGGGCTTTGAAAACCCAACATATTTCTGGGAATGTAAGTAACACAAATAGGGCTGTGGATATACTTAAAAAGTCCTACACTCTCACCTCTGGTTGACCTTGAGGTTCCATACTGAGGGAAGTAAATACTAAGGTAGAATAGAAAGCTGCATAATGTAGTGTGGGAGGTATGGTCCAATATGCACAGAGCCACTTCGGAAAGACTGGGAGATGTATTGGTCCCCAGATAGGAGAAATACCTGAACTGTGGCCTGTCACTCATCCCCCACAGCACCACAACTGTAACACATTTCTTGGGATGCTAACAGTCTTTAGGTTTAGCATTCTGAAAAAGTTGATTCTAACTACGTTTGTTAGTCTTCCCCTTGCTTTTATGCGGGGGACGAGGAGGAGGGACTCTTTCTAGGGTCTCTCCCCATTTTCCCTCATTATAGTTTCTTGAGGGACAGTTGGCTGACCTCGGGGCTGCTGCATCTATTCTATTCTATTCTATTCTATTCTATTCTATTCTATTCTATTCTATTCTATTCTATTCTATTCTATTCTATTCTATTCTATTTATTTATTTATTTTGTGTGTGTGTGGCCAGCTCAGCTCACCAGGGGGCGGGGCTGGCTGGCATGTGGTGCTGGGGGATTGAACCGCGGTCCCTGTGCTTTGCTTAGCTTAGCTTGTTCTAAGTAGGTGCTTTAGACCACTGAGCCATCTCACCAGCCCCTGCATCTATTCTTTGTATAGTATGTTTTTTGTTTCCAGAACCGGGGATTGAACTCAGACCCTTGCACTTGCCAGGCAAACGCTTATTCTACTGAGCTATCTCTCCGGCCGGTATAGTATGTATTTAATAAGCCCTTGTCCAATAAACCAAGAGAAGACAACCTTCCCATACTGTAGATTTCCCAGAGCCCAGATCTGAGTTTGGCTGCCTAATTCACTCTCTCTGGAGTTTGGCCCAGCACTGCATCTGGAGGGGATCCATGGGTCCTCCTTCAAAGTCTGCGTCTAAGAGAAGCCTATAGGCTGCGGGAGCTCGGGACTCAGTGGCCAGAGCTGGTACCACAGTAGAAATCTGCACGCTGACTAGGCAAGACAGAGATGCACCGGGCCCCGCCCACGAGCCAGTTCCCGCGGCAACCGTGGAAGCTTGGCTCAAAGGTGTGGGCTAAGTGACACTTTCGTCCCGTCCAGGCCCCACCCCCAATCCAGCCCCTAGTCCGACTCTCGCGCGGTCTGTCTGAGCTCACATGCGGCGCAGAGGCCGACGGGAGCCGCCGCTCTGAGAAGGCCGACATGGCGGCGGCGGCTGCTCTTCGCGGGGTGGTGCTTGGCCCGCGGGGCGCGGGGCTCCCCGGCTCGCGTGTCCGGGGCCTGCTAGGCGGCGCGCGGCCCGGGCGGCTCCCGCTGCTGACTCCTCAGGTAAGCGCTTGCTGACCTGGCCGCCGCGCGCCCCGCGGCCCTTGAAGGTCACGGCAGAGTTCTCCGGGCACTCGCTGGTAGCGGGCGGGCTGTCCCCACGCGGCGCCCCCACCCCCAAGTTGGGGCTCTGCTGCCCTCTGGTAGCCGGGCTCTGGGACCGGGTGCAGGGCGGGGGGCAGATTGTGGTTGAGAGCTCCCGGAGGGTTCATCGGGGACGCTGCCCCGCGCCGGGGTCTACGCTGGGTTCATGTCCTGAGGTGACCCCAGCCTAACCTCCGCCGGCCAGTAGTGACCTTGGTCGGCCGCAGCACATTCTGTCATTAGGCTTGACACCGGCTCAAGATGGGAGCTGAATTATAGCCCCAGGGCCAGCGGGCTTGTTGACCCCCCACCCCCGCCTCCTGCTGCGGTGATTCGGCCAGTGTGTGGTAGGGAGCAGACACCGAGTCGGATCCCCAGGCCTGCAGGTGGTGTCCTGGCAGGTACTGAGTGGAGCTCTTGCAGGCAGTGTCCTTGTCTTCGAAGTCTGGTTTTTCCCGCGGTCGGAAGGTGATGCTGTCAGCGCTGGGCGTGCTGGCGGCAGGGGGTGCAGGATTGGCCGTGGCTCTCCATTCTGCTGTGAGTGCCAGTGACCTGGAGCTGCACCCCCCTAACTACCCATGGTCTCACCGTGGGCTCCTCTCCTCCTTGGACCACACCAGGTGTGCAAATAACTGGCTGGCTGGGGGAACGACTCCATGGACTGGGTAGTGTAGAATGTTAAGTGCCCCTAACCTTTTTCTCTTTCTTTAGCATCCGGAGGGGCTTCCAGGTATATAAGCAGGTGTGCTCTTCCTGCCACAGCATGGACTACGTGGCTTACCGCCACCTCGTGGGCGTGTGCTACACGGAGGAAGAAGCAAAGGCCTTAGCTGAAGAGGTGTGGGGCTGGGAAGTTTGGGCTCAAGGCTTGGGGTTCCCACTGTGGTGGCATGGTAGGATTGTGATGGGGTTCTTGGTGGCAGGTGGAGGTCCAGGATGGTCCCAATGAGGATGGGGAGATGTTCATGCGACCAGGAAAGCTGTCTGATTACTTCCCTAAACCATACCCAAATCCTGAGGCCGCCAGAGCAGCCAACAATGGAGCCTTGCCTCCTGATCTCAGCTACATCATCCGAGCTAGGTACATGGACTAGAAAGGGTGAGGAGAGGAGGGTGTGTTTTTTGCCAAGGGCTGAGGAGCCATGGATCTGATTCCAGGCACGGTGGTGAAGACTATGTCTTCTCCTTGCTCACGGGCTATTGCGAGCCACCCACTGGGGTGTCCTTACGAGAAGGCCTCTACTTCAACCCCTACTTCCCTGGCCAGGCCATTGGTATGGCCCCTCCCATTTACACTGATGTCTTGGAGTTTGATGATGGTAAGTCCTTCACTGAGTCCTTTTCTATCCCCAGATACTCTCCATGTCCCTTGACCCTGGGAGGTCCTGTCCTTTTTTTGGCTAGAGGGTTGTCTGAGGGCTTGGGTACCTTTTACAGTCCTGTGGGATGCTGTTCCTTTCAAGCTTTGAGTAAAAGCTAGTCTGGCTCCATGAAGTAGGTTGCACCAGGTTAGGTATTAACCTCTAAGGGTAATGCTCATTACTTGTCTTTGGGTTAGGCACTCCAGCTACCATGTCCCAGGTAGCTAAGGATGTGTGCACCTTCCTGCGCTGGGCATCTGAGCCAGAGCATGACCATCGAAAACGGATGGGGCTCAAGGTGATTGGCTGGGCAAGGGCTACCGTGAGCATCAAAGAGAGGCTGGGAGGGATCTTTTCTTTGACCTTTCTCCTGAGCCTGCTTTGTCTCTAGATGTTGATGATGATGGGCTTGTTGCTGCCACTGGTCTACGCGATGAAACGGCATAAGTGGTCAGTCCTGAAGAGTAGAAAGCTGGCATATCGGCCTCCTAAATGACCTTGTCCAACATCTGCTTGCCATCTTGCCTGAACAGGCCTTCAAGCCCAGGAGCCATCCCAGGCCTTAGGTGGCCCACTCTGCCCAGTCTGTTTGGGTGGAGGGGAGAGGGCAGGAGACTTGGCTCTTGTTCCAGACCTTCTTTCAGCCCTCATCTTGGGAATGAATTAAATTGTTCAACATACACATTTGAGCTGCTGTGTGATAAACTTGCAGGGGATTCTGGTATTAAGTCCCACACCCTCACAGGAAGTCCCAGGCAGTGTGGCCAGCCCTGCCTCCTATCTGGGAGACCAGACATTGATGGGTGTGGGACAGAAAGCCAATGACTGTCTATGGAGGAGGCAGCATTTAGCAGGGTGTAAGTCTTGGCACACAACAGCGTTTGACCAGGTTAGTTATTGCCCAGGGGCCCAAGAAATTGCTGGAATGAACCATAAAGTCTCAGGATGTTAAACCACTCAGCCTATATTCCAGAGAGCACCACTGTCTCCGCTAGAGGAAGGCCTGAAGCTATTGTGCTGGACTGAGTCAAGTGGTATTGGGGAAGTTTGGGGGGCTTCTAGCCATGTTAGGAAATCACAGGCAGAAAGGGTACCTGGAATATTTCCTTGGTCATATAGGACGTAAGTGGTAGTGTCAGGACTGTCATAGAATGTGGGTCCAGTCCATAGGGCAAATTGGTGAGTCAAGGCCAAACAACTGTTAAGTGGCTTGGCTCACCCAGTTAAGTGATACCTCAGGGAACACTTGGCAGAAGGGTCAAGTACCATAACTTCAGACTCCTAGCTCCTGAGCTTTCCTTGTCCCTGTGAAGCAGGGAAAATACCCATGCTCTTTGTTGGTATCCTTACTGGAGCAGGCTAAAAGTCAGGTAGTGTCTGGTAGATAGCAAGGATTATGGTAAGGGCTAGAGCACACAACCCAAAGCAGCCAGGGGAATACTAGCTCTATCGCTAGTGGGACTTGGGGCCCAAGACTACTCTTCAGTAACCACCGGGGCTTGGCTAGGCAACCCTACCTGCTGACTTGCCCTGACACCTTCCAATTTCCTGGCTGGGCTGAGACAGTTCTCACTGACACAGTGAAGGGGACACTGGACTGGCATATGTTTTTAATGATGCCCATGGTCTTCCCCCAACCCCAGATCTGGTGGCTCTATTCTGTATCCCCAGTGAGCAGCCAGTGGAAGACCCCAAGTTCAAGAGGTGATGCAGGAATTTGGATCTGTGAGGCAAGGCCCATGTTCTCTGTAACCTGGGGGAAAAGACAGGTCATTTCTACTTATTTGTCCTACATACCACCTCTGTCCCCTAACCTCTAATTGTACCTTTGATAGTTCTAGGTGGAGGCTGGAGGAAGGGAATTCCAAGTGCAGGGCCTCTGGGTGCTACACATCTCACAGCCTGGGCGGCTTGGGGCATTGATGAAGGTGCAGGAAGGACAGGGCCAGCCAGGCTGGAGAGGCAGAGAGATTTGTTACTCTTTTTTCCAGTGACCATAGCTGCCGAGGGTTAGCCTGCCCCTGCCCATACTGATCCCTTGCCCACCTGAAGGGGGCTGGGGAGACTGGAACTGGCTGGTTGGGGGGCTTGGGGCAGCCCCAATGTCTGGGGAAACAAATGTCCTACTTTCCCATCCATCTTCTGGGAACATTGAGGGCTGTGTCCTGTGGGAGAGGAGGGGGGCTCAGAGCTGTCTCCATCTATACCCAACTTCCCTCACCACCATCAAGAACTTACCTGGGGCTTCTCGGGGGGCTGAAAGCAAGTAGAGAAAGGCAGGGTCCCCATCCTGCTGGATGCCATAGGAAGCAAGGCTTCGCTCAGGCACACATAGGTCTCGCCCAATGACCCAGCGCTGTACAGCAGGTGGGAAGCCAAACTCTGAGAACACCTGTGGAGAAAGCATCAGAGCTGGGTAGATCCACTCCCCTCCCCTGACAGGGCTCCTTGACCCTTTGCTCACCTGTTCCTGGAGTGCTGCAATGGTACAATGAGGATAGACCTTCAGCGAGATGTGAGCAGAGGATGTAGAAGCCACACCAGATGTAGCATCTTCAACTGTGACCTCCAGCCTGGAGGGTCAGAAAGTAAGCTAGGGGTTGGGTGAGGAACTTGGGAGGATCAGAAGGTCAAAGTGAAGTAGACCTGGCCTCACCTGATAGGACCAGGTGGGAAGCAGTCTGCTTGGAGCTGGACATTGAGAGCCACGTGATGCTGGGCCAGGATTGCTGCCACTTGAGCTGCCCGCTTTTCATCTCCACCTGCAATGGCCTGGGCCAGGTGCCCAGCCAGCTTTTCTACAGAGATAAGAGGACAGCTGTCACAGCCAGACACTAGTTACTTCTCCCAGGCCCCTCTGGCTGGCTGGCCTTACCTTTCTCCAACAAGTCTCCAGGGCTCCAGGTCAGGTTTGCCTGAGATTGGGATGCTTTGAGTGTTGGGGCCACAGGGGGACTGGGCAGGGAAACGGGGCATATTTCTGGATGCAGGACTTGGGGTAGGCTGCCATTGCCTAGGAAAGAGATGTGTAGTAGCTGGTAGCCTTTGCTCTCAGGTTTCTGGGACCTCTCCCTTCTCCCTCTTCATCCTGGGCTATATCAGGTTCTATCTCGGCCCATACTTCAAAAACATTTTCTTTTCCCAGCCTTGGCTCTTGCAAACCCCTCCGAGGTCCCTGGCCAATGTCTGTTGTTGCTGGAGCTATATTTGGCTCACATTTAGGACCTAGAGTCCTGAACCCTTCTACTGTCCAATCTCATCTGTGCCCCTCCTCCATACAGCAGAACCAAAGACAGGTCAGACCCTGCCCAACAGCAGCCCAGAAGTCAGTGACCTATTCTTGGTGCCCTCAGTGGCCTCTCATCTTCTGGCATCTCTGTCTACACAGAACACACACTTGGGGTCCTTTCCTTGGGGATCTTTAGAGTCATGCACAATGATGTCTCCCTTATTACCGCCTGCCTGAGGCCAGGCCACTGCAATGAGGTTTCTGTACCCAGTGCTAACACTTGTGAAGGTCTCATTCCCTTGATATTCTGAACTGTCTCCCCACTAACATGAGAAGTGCCTGCAAGCACCTGGTGCTGTGTTTGTGTCTTAAGGGTCATTTGCACATACTCCATTTTTTTTTTTTTTAATTTTAGGGAAAGTCTACAGGGTATTCAGAGTTTCACTACTAGATCAGACTTGTAGTGATCTGCCTGTTTACAGCCTCCCAAAAGCTGGGATTACAGGCACACGCCACCACGCTCAGTCTCCATTCAGGGATTTTATACCTGCTGTTCCGCAGGTCACATAGTTTATACCAGGCTCTTCAAATTTCACTCTATTGTCAAATTTCTCAAGACTGCCTTTCCTGCCACTGTATTTTAAGTAGCAGCCCTCCCTCCCTCCAGCACTTCCATTCCCTCTACTATCTAACTGAAGCTTATTTACTGATTTTATGTCTTTCTCCCCTCTAGATATGCAAGTTTCAAGGAGACAAGGATTTGAGAACTTGGGCTAAAGAAGTGTCCAGTATTCAGCCACACCAGGGGCTGAGTATGTATATTTGGTGAAGGAATGAGCCTCTCCTTTTTTTAATGCAGATTGACTTAGGCTGTCTTACATTACACTGTCTGGTTGTCTTCCTCCCTCTGTGTTCCATTTGTCGGCTGTCCTTCCTCTCCACAAATCACTACCTGCATGCCAGTCCTTTTTCTCTAGGATTCTCTCTCCTGATTACTTCGTTTGACCTTTTCTACATCTTATCTTTACTTCTGGAGAGTCCCAGCTCTGACCCAGCTGTGTAAGAACTTAGCCACTTCCACACCCTTCCAACCAGACCCTGTCTAGGAGCCTTGCACTACCTGGCCCCTCCATCTTTCTCAATCTTAACTACTAACGTTTCCATTTAAACAACCATAAACCTCAGCTAATTCCATGACCTTAGAATCTCTGGAAACATCCTCCTCTGAAGCCCTATCAGGACCACCCCACATTAAGCAACAGACATCTAAACCTGTCACTTCCATTGAATATCCTCCCCATTGCTCTCCAACTTAACGTTTTTATTAACACTGGGGTCGGGTCCTCTGGCCCTGGTTTGCTATGCCTTGGAATTTTTGTCTGGTACTTCAGCCAGCAGCTCCTAAATCTCTACCTTTCTCCATTCTTTCTCCTGGGAGCCTTCTGAGTTGCCCAGCTTCCTCCATCACTGCCCCATCCCGGTGTGAGCGACCCGGGCTACTCTAAATGAGTCTTAATTCCAAGGACTGACCATTTTGTCCCTCCGCGGAGGCGCCTTGCACCAGGGCTGCCCACCGCTGAGCTTCCTCAGGGTTGAGGAAGTGTAAGCTGAGGGTTCCAGGCCCTCCTGGCGGAGGATGCAGCTCGTGTTGGCAGGGGCCGCAGATGGTGTAAGAGACTGACTCCAAGGGCCACTCCAAATTGACCTGAGGTGGGGGAAGAGTCCAGGCTTAGTGGTCTCCTACTCTGAATTAGGTATGGTGACCAAAGGAAGACGTAATAACATCTACAGGCTACTTACAAGCAGGTATTAGCATTAGCCTTATTTTACAGTTTTAAGAGAAGCAAAGAAAAGTAACTGGTCAAGAGTACGCAGTGGATTGGAAGAAGGACTTAATCTTGGGCTCGTCGCTCCACTCTCAACTTACCGCCCCAGGTCCCGCGCCCTGAAGTTGCAGCCGGAAACGCCCAGGCCGCTCGGGGTCCGTACTCAGCAGAAGCCTCCGTAGCGGCGCCTCCGCATCCGGCCCGACCCCCAGAGGTCTCACTGTAACGGGCACAGCTAGGAGGACCGTGGCCGAACCATGGTCCCCGGCTGCTGCCGCCCCACCTGCCGGTGGCGCCATCTCGAGTCCGCCCCGTCCCCAACCCTCCGAGCCTGCTTCCGTTGATCAGGCAGCTGAGTGTCTCCACCGACCAGAAACTATGACCCTGAGACTACGTTCCGGGCTTGGCCAGAGTGTCCGAATTCAGGAGGAGGCCCAGGGCCGCGCACCGTCCAACCCTAGCCCTTGTGTATCTGAGAACGTACGTGGCCTGAGGGTCATGTTTGAATTGGGTGTTGGAGGCAGTGGCAGAGTCCTAAGCGCCAGACGCGATTGGAAAGCGGCCACGGGCTGTTGGACTCAGAGGGTCAAGCGGGTAGAGGTTGCAGTCCCAGTTCTGGGATACAGCGGGACCACAGACAGAACACTTTGCTGCGGGCTTGGGTCTCCAGGTTACTGCCCCTGGTAGGCACAGGTTCGCTACTCCCACACGGGCCCGGGGGCGGGACGGAGCTCGGGCCAATGAGCGACGGGGCGGGAGGCGGGTTCGCTCGGTCGAGAGAGTGACAGACAGTGGTTTGATCCAGTAGGAGTGGAAGAGAGAATGAGCGACGGAAAGCCTCCCAATGGCTGGTCGCGTTTTCGAGCCTGGGGCTGAAGCGGGCCATTCAGAGGCGTGGGGCCGGGCCTGCCGGACGCTTGTTGTTGTCCGGACGGGAGAAGCGGAGGTCGCTGGTTTGCTTGCTCTCTGTGGTGCTCTGTGTTGGTGGACGACAGGTCGGTCGCGAAAGTGGGCGCTGTGCAGGGGGGCGAGGCTATGTCGTGGTGGCAGCCCGGATGGGCCGGCAGGGCCTGGAGTAACGGGACGTCGCCGCAGAGCTTCTTCCCCCGGACACGGCGCAGTCCGAACGGAGGCCGCTGCGCCACCCTGCGGCTCTGAGGAGCCCGCACCGCTCGGAGCCCGCCACGCCTTTGCCCGACACCGACGCGGAACAGCCTGGCCGGCCTGATCTTGCTAAGCCCAGGCAGGTGGGTGCCCGCCCTGAGCCCGCGACGTCCAAGGCCGCCGGAACCACAGCGCCCGGCAGGCCTCGCGCCAATGCATTACCTCTTGGGACTCGTAGTTCTGTGGTGGCTCGGCAGGAAGCCCCCCCCTCGCTTGCCGCACTGCCTGCTGGGACTTGTGGTTCAGCTGCAGCTCGGCAGGTGCCATCCAGGTCGGCCAAAGCTGCAGATCACTAGCTGGACGGTGGGGGGCTTTCTCCACTCTTTGGTGTATGAAAGGATTAGGTGTACTTGCAAAGTAGGAATCTGTGGAGTTTGTTCCCTCGTTGCTAGAGAAGCAGCCCATAGAACAGAAGGGCGCCTATCCAGTGACTGCAGGGCCTGAGCATCAGTTGTCCTGGTTCATACCCTGGCTAAGGATCCCAACTCTGCTTGTAAGGGGGGACTTCAGGAGTCATATCCCTTGATGCATGTAAAGTGACTCACATGGTGGGTGGGTCCTCTTTCTGGATGAGTATGGGGACAGGGAGAGTTGAGTGAGGGACTGGTCCAGCAGCCCCAAAGTCCTGAGCTGTCCCCTGTCTTTCATGATGCAGAGGATATAGCTGAGCTGGGAACCTGGGCTTGCCACCTTAGGTAGCAGGATCTCATCACTTTTGAACTAGTGCTTAGTATTCAGGGTTGGCTGGAGGAGGGAGAGGAGCTGTATGAAGCCTGGACATAGGCCAGAGCCATCTGTGCAGTGTTTTGCTTAGGGGATAGGAACACTAAAAGCAGAACTCCATGGGGCCAGATACACATGGCCTGGCTTCCTACATCCTCAGGCAGCACTAGCCCCTCTGGAACAAGGAGTCCCCTCCCCAAGGTCATGAAGCTGTTGGAGAACTCCAGCTTTGAGGCCATCAACTCACAGTTAACTGTGGAGACTGGAGATGCCCACATCATTGGCAGGTGAGGCCAGAGGCTCTGGGGGCCACTGTCTCAAAGGTCACTGCCCTGGCTCTTTAGTTGAACCTGGCAGGGCCAGCATGCTCCATGGTCTGCATCCCATAGGATTGAGAGCTACTCATGTAAGATGGCGGGAGACGACAAGCACATGTTCAAGCAGTTCTGCCAGGAGGGCCAGCCCCATGTCCTGGAAGCACTGTCCCCACCCCAGACCTCCGGCCTCAGCCCCAGCAGGTGAGCTGAAGTGGGGCCTGCCTTTTCTAGGCTATGGGATGGTGGGCTAGGCTGATGTTTGTCTCTGTACAGACTGAGCAAGAGCCAAGGTGGTGAAGATGAGGGCCCCCTCAGCGACAAGTGCAGCCGAAAGACCCTCTTCTATCTGATCGCCACTCTCAATGAGTCCTTCAGGCCAGACTATGACTTCAGCACAGCCCGAAGCCATGAGTTCAGCCGGGAGCCCAGCCTCAGCTGGGTGAGGATCGGGTGGAGGGACCCACAGCCCCACAGCCATTCCTGCTGCAATCCCCAACTTTCTGTGGTTCCTGGGCTCTGTCTAGTCTACATCTGCTGTCGTGGACCCCTGTCAGCCCTACATGACCTGCCCTAGGTGGTGAATGCAGTCAACTGCAGCCTGTTCTCTGCTGTGCGAGAGGACTTCAAGGACCTGAAGCCACAGCTTTGGAATGCAGTGGATGAAGAGATCTGCCTGAATGAATGCGATATCTACAGGTGTGCCAGAGTCTCTGCAGGTATGTCCCCTGGTGTGTGTGGCACTAGGAGCCTCACATTACTGCTTGCCCCACTCCCCAGTTATAACCCAGACCTGGACTCAGACCCTTTCGGGGAGGATGGCAGTCTCTGGTCCTTCAATTATTTTTTCTACAACAAACGACTGAAGCGAATTGTCTTCTTCAGCTGCCGCTCTATCAGGTTTGTACACCCACCTTCTTTCCCCTAGCTCCCTGGGCCCCTACCATTTTCTCAGCTTTGCCCAACCACCCTAACCATGTTTTGCCTGAACATCCTCCCTTGGACCAGCAGCAGGTCTGGGATAGGTGGTCCAAAACTTTTTTTCCACTTCCCTACCCAGTGGTTCCACCTATACACCCTCAGAAGCAGGCAATGAACTGGACATGGAACTGGGTGAGGAAGAGGTGGAGGAAGAAAGTGGAGGCAAAGGCAGTGAGGGTGGGGCTGAGGAGACCAGCACTGTGGAGGACAGGTATGTGATAGTGATGGTGGCCCTAATCCTTGGAATGGGTGGGATAGATCAGAACTGCCCCTGCCTTGTCTGCTGGGTAGTGGCACTTCAAATCCTGTTATGTCAATCTCTGCCCAGGGTCCCAGTGATCTGTATGTGATGAGAGGAGCAGAGGCTCCAGCTTCATTCAGCTTCAACCAATGCCTGGACCTGCCCACCTTGAGGGGCCCCAGGGCCTCCCCAGCTGATGGCCATACCCTGGCGCTACCACAATCCTGGTGCTGCGCAAGGTCATACCTGCCTACCCTTTTGGCACCAGCCTGTGGATGTCCACTCACCCCTGCAGGATCCTATTGCCCATGCTGTGGCTGGACTAGACAGCACAGGGCCTTGTGGGAAAAGTGACTGCCCTGTCCAGATGGACTGCTGTAAGCAGAGATGGACCACAGAGTTTATTTTTATATTTCCTACTGGGTCTGCACACTCCAGCCCCAAGGACCAATGTCCTAAGGCTCCACAAGCAGTCCCTAGTGGTCAGTGGCTCTGGTCTTGGGCCAGCCCCTGGTGCCCATCTGTCCCCCTACTTCCCCAGGAGGACTGCGTGCACTGAGTGTTACTTTGCTGCAGCTCATTTGTTTTCAATAAAAGTTTCTGTGACTTAGTACAGATCTGGGTGCGGCGAGGGTGGGGCCTGCGGTGGGGCGGGGCCTGTGGTGGGGCGGGGCCTGCGGCATTCCGTATTCGAGCAGAGCAACGAGTAACCGCTAGGTCCTGGGAGCTGTTGGATGCCACTGTGAATATGGAGGTAGGAGTGGTGGGCACAAGCAGCAACCTTTCAGCAGAGGGAGATAACCTGATTCCAGATTCGGATCTGTACGATGTGGACAGCTATGACACCCCAGACCCAGGGTTACTATTGGAAAACGATGGTGAGCCCCTGGCCCCCATGTCTCCTTAGAGAGTGGGTCTCACAAGGGCTCTTTTCTGTGCCGGAAATGGAACTTCTCCAGGTAGTTCCTGACACGTATAGGGTTGTCCCCTTCAGGGACTGACGGACTTTACCGGCTGTCTGTAGAGTTGTACTTTCGGGAGACACCACAAGTCCAGCAGCTCTTTACCAGTAGCCAGCGATGGCAAGACATGACTTTACACACCCGCGCCCGCCAGCTGTGGCTGCTTCTGCGTGCAGGCCTCCACAACCTCGTGGAAAAGGTGTGGCTTGCCCGGGCATCTGCCTCTTTTCCTGAGCAGCCGTTTTCCTGCCCGTCCCGTCATGTTTCCCTGGGCAGAACCCCTCCTTCCAGCCCCTAACGAAGGCCTGTCCATGGTGACCCACAGGTGAAGACAGCCGAAATGCGTGCAGCTCGTCTGACACATGGGCTGGAGCCACTGCGCCGCCTGGAGGTGGCAGCCGGGCTGCATTCAGTGGCACAAGACCCAGAGGGCGGGCGCTTTGTGGTGCTGGACGGCGCAGGGTACCTGCACCTACATAGAAAAGACGGCTGGGCACAACAGAAGCTGCAGGCCCCCATAGCACTTACAGGATTGGTGGTTGTGCCAGGACCTCTGGGAGCTGTGGGCCGATTTGTAGGCTGGGGTCCTGCTGGGTTAGCCATACTGGGGACAAGCCTTGGCCTGCTGTGGCGGAGCCAGCTAGGGATGGGCAGGGCACAGTACCGAGAACCCACTTGCTGCCTGCCAGTGCCCAAACTGGGTCTGTTGCTCGTAGCTGAGGTTGGTGGCAGCCTGGCACTCTGGAAGTTCCGTTCAGGTGGCCGTTGCCTGGTACAGTGCGGGTCAATTATTCAGCCTCCACCAGGCATGGAAGGCACCCTCAAAAGGCTGGCTCTGGGGCCAGTATCTGCCCACCGTGGCCCACATTGCCTTGCAGCCTACGGCTCATCGGTGCTCACTTTGGACCTGCGCACCTGGGCTCTCATTCACGTGTGCCAGGATCTACATAAGACGTGAGGGGGACATGGGGACATGAGGTGGGTCCCTTAGAGCCATGCACACATAGACGGTCTTGCTGAGTCTGCCGGGCCCCTCTTTCCCCATCTCCAGTACCATCTCAGACCTGGCATACTGCAAGGAGGCAGAGGCAGTGGTGACAGCTTCTCGAGACAGTACAGTGAAGGTGTGGGAGATGGACTGGCAGATCCGAATGGTGTTCGTGGGCCACACAGGTGCGGGCGCTCCGGGAGCCCTTGGAGTGCTTTCTCTTCACTCTGAAAGTGTTCGGCTGCCCCAGATCTCAGCCGACTCAGGCCAGGCTTCCCTAGCCAGCAGCATCTGGGCTAACTGCTCCCCCTCCCTCAGTTTTGGAGTGCTCAGAGTGACTGAGCCTCTCCACAGGCCCGGTGACAGCTATGACTGTGCTCCCGAAAACCACTTTGGTGGTGTCGGCCTCGCAGGACGGGACGCTGCGCACATGGGATCTACAGGCGGAGGCGCAGGTGGGCGAGGCAGCACTGGCTTACAGAAGCCAGGACAAGCTGTCCTGGCGTGTCGACCAACTGTTAGCGCCTGCAGGCACCGGCTGGCCTGTGCTATCTCTGTGTGCCAGGAGTCTGGAGCTGTGGAGAGTGCGCGAACTCTACTCGACGCTGGCTCAGCTGCCCGCCCGGGTGCTGCACCTAGAGGTGGCGCCCATGCTGCCCGTGCCTGTAGACCCCGTGCTACCCACACGCCTCATTTGCGCGTGCGCAGATGGTTCAGTCCTCCTGGTGTCTGCTGCATCCGGTCGTGTGGTGAACACCCTGCTCCTTGACCTAGAGGACTGTGCAGCTGCTGTGGCCTACTGCCTGCCACGCGAGGCACTATGGCTGCTGACACAGGCTGGCCATCTGGTGCGAGTGAATGCAGCACGCTGCCCCATGAGTGTGCTGCACCGTATAAGCCCACCTTTGCCTCCTGCATCAAAGTTCTGCTGCCTGCACCTCTACAGCCACCTCACTGACCCCAGCACTGCGCTTGCCTGCTGGGAGATTGTGTGCCAACATGGGGGTGACCCACGTCGCTGTGCCATGGCCTGGGCCTGGAAGAACAAGAACCGGTGGGTGCCCAGGCCTCTCTAGGTTGCTGCAAGCCCAGCCCAATCCCGCCCATTTGGCAACAGGACCAGTGCCAACAAGCTCCATTGTCACCTGCAGTTATCTGCCTGTGATGGGTCACACAGATGGCATGCTGTCAGTGTTGGACTGGCTCTCTTCAAAGACTGTCTTCCATATAAAAGCACACAGTCCAGGCCCAGTCACTGCCATTGCATCCACCTGTAACAGTATCGTATCATCGGGTCAGTATCTTTTTGCACCCAAAGCCAATTCAGGAACCTCTCGCCCCTGCGAAGGTCCAGTCCTGGCTTCTTCCATTGATAGGTGGAGACAGGACTGTGAAGGTGTGGCGCGTCTTTCCCTATGCTGAAGAGAGCCTGAGTCTCCTGCACACCTTCTCCTGCTGTCAGCCAGTCGTGAGGCTCTGTGCACTGGGCAATCGAATCACTGTAGGCTTTGAGGATCCAGACAGCGCAACCTATGGCCTGGTACAGTTTGGCCTGTCTGAGGGCCAGCGCTCTGACCATCGGCCCCAAGATGACCCTATGGACCACATCACTGGTGAGGGGGTCAAAACAGAGGTGAGGCCTGAGTCCCTGTTTCAGCAGAATAGTTCCTGACATCAGCCCAACCTGCAGGGCTGTGTTGCTGTCCAACGCTCAAGCTCTATGCCTGCTCCAGCCTGGACTGCACTGTCCGCATCTGGACTGCAGAGAACCGCCTGTTGCGGTAGACTGGGGTTGGGGGTTGTGGATAGCTGGTTGGGCTCTCCCTACCTGTTCCTCCCATAAGAGTCCAGTGACTTGGGGGATAGAGCCTCGGTCTCATCATTCCTGAGTTTCCTACTCTATAAGCAGGGGATAAACGCTGTTCTCTGGGTACCCCCCACAGGCTTCTGCAGCTGGATGGTGCCCCTCAGGCCCTGGTTTTCTGCAGCAACAGTGCAGACATGGTACTGGCACTGGGCTCTCGCCTCTGCCTAGTGTCCCATAGGACCTACCTTCCCACATTCTACCTGGTCCAGGTGTGTCATGACAGCAAGGTGGGTTGGTGGGGGGCTGTTGCATGCAGGTAGTTCCTAAGTCCAAAGATCCAGGCTCTTCTTGCTTGCTCCTCTCTTAGAAGCTGCATCAGAAGGTACCTGACGTGGTGGATGATCCTCCGCTGCCACTGACCAACTGGGAGTCACTGACCCCCATGCAGCTGCAGAGACTCACCAAGTTGCAAGGAATGGACAACCTCAGGTCTGCTGGCAGCCTCCCACAACACCTAGCATGAAGACTCAGAACTCCTGGGTTCTTCAAGGGGTACCACAGACTCCTCCCAGTCTTGGCATCTCTTCTCTTGACTGGTCCTTGTCCCACTTTCTGCCCTGTTCCACTGGTAATGCCACCTAGCATCTCACCTGCCTTTGTCCCTATCTGCAGTGTGGATTTGCCCTTCATCCATCGCCAGATGGCAACACTTCAGCATCCAGTGGTGAAGGAGGTACAGAAAGTCTTGATGCTCTTATCACCTCCTTGCCCAGCCCTACCCTCTGCCCAGACTCAAGCTTCAACCTTTTAGTCCCTGGACTGGCCTGACTACATAACAAGTTTCATAGATGTACAGCTGCCTTCTGATCCCAACCTCAGGACTTGGAGGCCCTACAGACCAGAGATCGAGACCTTCAGCAGCTGAAGCTAGGTCTAGTAGTCCCAGTGGCTCAGCCCCCACCCTCCTGGAAACAGCATCAGGAAGCTTTTGAAAATTATCTATATCTGATCTATGGTCCTAGCCTTCTGGTGAGTTTGGGACCAGCCTCAGCCTTACCCACGGCCCCTCCCCTCACCCCAGGTCTAATATGGCCACCTGATACTACTTATACCAGGGTATTCAGTCTCGAATGGATTCACAGCAGTGGAGCACCTTGGCCATCACCACAAAAAAAGAGTCCCAGGATGAGAATGCCTTACCCAGCACTGCTCCCTTCAGTCAGGCTATAATCAACACTAAATCCCAGACAACACCCACAGCCCTAAGGGCCCCATACCAGCGTTTTGCCCGCCCTCCCCGAGTCAGCTTACCTATTCCACCCATCCACCGGAGGGTACACAGTAGAGCGTCCCAGGTGAGGCCTCTCCTTTCCCGCATGACTGTCTGCCATCACTGCCTCTGCTTCCACCTCCATGACCCCTTGGATGTCCTAGCTTCTAGCCCGCTCTTCCCTGAGCCATGACCTGGGCCTCAGTCTGGATCTACTGCTTCACTCAGAGCAAATACAAGGGACAAAGACGAGCATGGCCCTGGAATCACTGACCTCCCTCTTGCAGCACAGGGTGAGGAACTCAGGCAAGTGGGGTGCCTTCTGCCTCAGGCAGCACTTCAGGGACTCTAAAGTCTGTGTTCTGCTCTGAGTCCCTTCTTCTCTTCTTCCCAGGTCCCACTATTGCTGAAGAAAAAGCCCAAGGAGCCTCTCTCAAATCTCAAGGGCTTCTTTCCTGCCACCATACATCCCCACAAGGTGAGACTCTCAGCTTCCCCCCAAGTATCATCTTTAGGGTTCACTTTCCTTATGCATCCCAGGTTTGCTGAAAACTTAATATTCAAATGTGACTCAAAGGCTTTGAGCTCCAGAGCTGTTCACCTAGCCTGGTGCAGCTATATTTGGGCATAAGTTCCTTGCCGACTTCCAGGCTAGGAGTTGAGGCAGGGGTTACACACTACTGGCTCTACCCTCACCTCTTCTCCCCAGTGGGAGTGACTAGAATTCAAGGCTCTTCAGAGGAGCAAGTTCAAGGGAAGCTGAGCCTTCAAGATCCACAGTCTTTTCATACTCCACACTGAGTGCCTAGACAGGCCCAAGCCTCACCAAGTACGCACTTGCACCAGCCAATGTGGGTCCCTGACCCTACAATCTGGACATCCACATTTTCTCAAGCCCTATAGCACCCTCTCTTCAAGCTTTTTTTTTCCTGTTACTCCCCAACCCCAGCTTCTTCTAGACTTTCCTGTCCCAGCTTGGACTAGGTCATATGGAGAGTATGTGAGGGCCAGCTGTCCTCTGGGTCTCCATTATTTCCCAGTTTATGGTGTGCCCTTCCACCTGGTTTTACAGACTTCCCTGCTTGTCTGTGCTGAGAGCAAGGGCTTCATTTTAGTCCTTGGAAACTGGGCCCCTGGCTGAGAGACTCAGAGTACTTACTGGTACCCCTGAGTGGTATCCCAGATAGGGGTCTTAAGTTTCTCATCCCACTCTGATGTGCTTCACCTCCAGTACTACAAACGGCCCATCAGCTTCCCAGGCTTTGTGCCCAACTCTGTCGTGCTGCAGCAGATGTGGCTGCCCATGGAGGTCAGCTGCCTTGGATCTCTGGTCCTGCTTGCCTCCCGGAGCAGGCTTAAGGCAAGAGTCAGGGATGGGGATGGCATTCAGGCAGGGCTCACTGTCCCCTCAGCCTGCTACATGCTCCCCTTTTCACTCCCATCTGTGCAGCCAGGTCGAAACATGGATGACACATGGCTGTCAGAACACAGGTGGTCTACAGGCAAGTGGCAGAAGAGATTCCTCCAGTGGCTTCACAGAGATTCCAGTGAGGAAGAAGAGGAAGAAGAAGAGGAAGAGGAGGAAGAGTTTCTAGAGGTGGACTGGGATTCCCTAAGCCCAGATAAGTCTCACTCTGAGCAGCAGCTAGATTCTTGGGAGCCAGAGGCTCAGGTAGGTACCTCAGACTGCCATAGGAGGGGTGGGCTTGGTACCTACAACCCAGAGAGCTGGGTCCACAGCTGATGTTACTTCTTCTAGAATTCTACAAACTTGACCACAGAGCCCTGGAGCTCCTATGAGGCACCAGGGACTAGCATCTATAGTGATTCATACTCCCTTTGGGAAGAACGCTATGGGCATCTACCTAAGTTCCTGCATTATTTTGTTGTCCAGAACTGGTTCAAAAAGCTGTTCCCCATCTTCAGCCTGGAGGTTTGGGGGAGCCTTGGAAGCCTGGAAATATAGGCTGGGATGGGGGATGGGGAGAAGGCACTAGGGTGCAGGGCAGTGCCACAGTCTCAACACACCATCCACAGACCTACCCGGAGATGGGCACTGTGGAGGGTCTGGCCTCACTGTTCATAGACCAGCTAGCAGAAGACACCTGGGCAGCCCGTGTGTATATCCTCCAAGCACTGCTGAGGCTGATTCCCAGTGTGAGCCGAGAGCTCCAGAAACGGCTGCATGGCAGTCTCTTGCAGTTGCTTAACCAGGAGAAGCCTCCCAGCCTTGAGGTAAGCTTCTCAATAGCCCCTTACCTGCTGCAACTTACTGCATTGACCATGATGCCACCCCCACCTCCCACCCCTGTGCTTAGGACCCTATACAGAAGCAGTTTGTGATATTGGCACTGCAGCTGCTCCTGGCCTGTTCACTGGATTCCCGTGACGTGGTGGTAGAGCTCATGTCCTACTACCTGTATTCCCCACCCACCTACCGGTGAGTCATGCTCCTGGCTAGTCCTCCTCGCCAGCTGGGAACGCCTTGGGTTAAGCTGTACACATCTGTCTCAGGCCAGAGCTCAAGAAACTCCTGCACAGTCTGGGCCTCCAGGATCCACAGGGCTTCCTGTTCAAGGAAATGCTGACCTGGGTCTCAGGCTCATACTCTGAATCCAAGGCCATGCTGCGTGCACGCTGCTGCCAGAAACTGGAGGACATGCTCCAGCAACTGAAGGTCTGGTACACAGGGGCTGGGTGGGCCACGCTTAGGGAGCGTCACACTTCCAGAAATCCAGAAGTGCCCAGAGAGAGCCAGGTGGGACTGCACTGCAGGAATGCTTATGTAGGCTTTTTCTCTGCAATTCCCCAACTTGAGTTTCTCTGGGAAAACTTGTTCCCACTGAAGGCTTTAGCAAGAGCATGATATTAGAATCAGAGACTACAGTGTAGAGGCCTCCTAATCAGGCAGTTTTCTGGGTTAGGCATAGGGGCAGAAAGGAATTTCAGGGGCTGAGGAGCTAGGGTGTTTTCTTGACTGATTATGTCCCCTATAGATGGAAACCACACAGATGACTACAGCCAAGACATCTGCAGTACTGCCCAAGGTCTCTGAGACCTCAGTCCCTACATCTACTCCCAAGGAGACCCTTTCACAGGCTTCCATGGTCTGGGGGACATCCATGAGCATCCTGGAACTGCAGCAGGAGACAACTAGCTCAGAGCTCCAGGACAAGCCCAGGCCCATGCAGATACGCACCAAGCGGACCAGATACTTTCTCTCTGATATGCTACAGAACTTCTGTGTGGTGCCCCAGGCCCGCGTAGACCACCTAATGAAACCTGTGCATCGTGATGAGTTGCTGCCACTTGAAAAGACCGACTGGTCACGCTCAAAGGTACTGGACCTGTGCACCATTGATGCACTGAACTTATTCTGTGAGAAGGAGTGTATCAGGCACAGCTTGCTGCAGGAGGTAGAAGATACACCCTCGGCCCTGCGCCTGCTAGAACCCAACACTGTTGTACTGCCGCCTCGGGATCGTGGGTATGTGGTGAAGGGATAGAGTGGGGGATGGGGGAACTGCAAGGTATAGGTGTTAGGTGGGACTTGGCTGAACCCATCCTCCCCTAGGTTCCATCCCATCCTCCGGCTGCAGGAGGCAATGGCCCAGAGCTCTGAGATGAGACTGAGGGGTAAGTGGGCCCTATGATCTAGCCTGGACCCTGACTACTGGCCCTGCCAGCCCCAGTTGGTGCACCCCTGCCTCATTGCCTGTTTGCTCCCAGGCCACTTACTGTCCCAAAACTGCGCCCGCACGCTGGATGGTACCATCCGTTTACTGAAGCTGCCACTGCCTCGGGTGGAGCCAAGGCCCTTCCCCCCTGGCTGGCCTAAGCCCACTCGTGCTCAGCCCCCGAGGCTCCTGCAGCCATCCCTGCAGCGCTATTTTCTTCTGGAAGACACAGACCCCAACAACTACAGCTAGTGGCTTTGGCCTGGCGCCCCTCCCACCGACTTGAGAGTCATAACCTGCCCCCCAGCCTGTGCTATAGCCCAGAATAAAGTCCAGAGGCTGGGATTCCACTTCAGATGTGATCTTCTTTCTTGGGCTTTGTGGAGGGCAGCGAGGCTGGGCAGGATAGGCTCTGAATCCTCTTGCTGAAGACAGAACCCTAGACTTTGTTAGTCCATGAAGATGGAACACTTCCCCTGTGTGGTGGCCCATCTGCCTGGAGAGAAGGAGACCCACAGTGAAGGACAGTTAACTGGGTTACCCACAGACGGGACACTGGCCATCATGATGGTTCTGTGCACCTGCAGGAGGCCACAGATGTGTGTCAGGGTAGAGCCTTTCTGCTAGGCATGCTGTTTTCTGCAAAACAAGAAGATAGCCTGTTTTGGATCTTGCCACCTAAAAGTCCTTGTAAGGTGAACATTGTCTTGGGGTGCCGGGTATCAGAGGGCTCACTTCCTTCTGACCTGGCAAGGCACTGATGGGACCTTGCACACATTAGTAATTTGCTCAGCTTTTGTGAAATTCCCTAGCTTTTTTACCTCCTTTCATTGAGATGTCTGAGCAGTGATCTGTCCTATAAATCCTGTAAGTTCTCAATTTTTTTTTTTTTTTTTTTTTTTTTTTTAGTGGTACCATTGATTGAACTCAGGACCTTGTGTTTGCCAGGCAGGTGCTTATTCTACTGAGCTATGTCCCCAGCCCTGTTCTCAACTTCTGACTGTAGATGTTCCTTGTCTATGGTTAGAACAGGTTTTCCATTCCTTCCCTTTGTTAGAAATGAGCTCCAAACTCAAATTGTGGGTGCCAAAGAAATGCATTGAGACAACAAGCAAGAGGACTCACAAGGCAAAGCTTGAAGTTTACTTGTGCAGGAGAGTGTGAGAGCACTCAGACCTGAGGCAGGGGGTGCACCTAGAGGCAGGGAAGAGGTGCTGCGCCTAAGGCATGGGGAAAGCTTACAATCAATCCATGTTGACTGATTTTAAATCGTCAGGGGAGGATCTGAAGGTTGCTGTGAGGAAGGAGGAGCAGAAGGAGAGAGGCATAGGGAACAAAATGTCTTTGTCTGTTGATAAACTATCCTAGGGGCTGGTGAGATGGCTCAGTGGTCTAAAGCACCTGCTCAGGACAAGCTTAGCAAAGCACGGGGACTGTGGTTCAATCCCCCAGCACCACATGCCAGCCAGCCCCGCCCCCTGGTGGGCTGAGCTGGCCACACACAC